GTGCACTCTTGATGATGGGCTGATATTGAGAATGATTTCTAATTTCTTCATTGTTTGAATTGTGACCGTCTTTAGCTCTCTTGTGCTTTCCCAACCCCCCTCGCTCTGTTTCCATTCAACACTGACCTGAATGTTTTCTCATAATGGAGAGATTTTTTTCCCCCCTCTGTTGTTTTCTCTTTTTAATAAATGTTTGTTAAATTCCTGAATCCTTTGAGTCTAATCGCCTGACTGATCTGGCTCCTATTGTTTGAGCAACGTTTGGCTCCATTGATGAATTTAGTTTCCCAGAGGAGCAGGACTGAGGGAATTAACAGGGAGACAGGGAAAGTTCACATTGTGTCTCTTGTATTGAACATACAGGAAGATCTGCATTACTACGATAAACCCAAGGTTGTGATTGCAGCAAGACTTGTCATAGTTTGACTGCTTATTCATTATTTTCTTGGATGTGCTATTTATTTTCCTGTTATTTATGGTTCTCTAACCACACAACTGTGCGTCCCCTCCCCATCTCTATACCCACTACTTTGCAACAACAGGTAGAATCTGCATTTTTAGAGATACAGCCAACTGGGCTCAAGCATAGAGATTGCATTCAACACTGTCCCCATCAAACTGTCCCCGGACAGGGACAGCACGGGGTTAAGATACAGAATAAAGGTCTCTCTACACTGTCCCCATCAAATCACAGGACAAGGACTGCATGAGGTCAATGCAGAGTAAAGCTTCCTCTACACTGCTCCCATCAAACCATCCCACGCCTTGGACAGCATGGAGTTGGTTACAGAGTAAAGCTTCTTCTGCACTGCTCCCATCAAACCATCCCAGGACGGAGACAGCATGGAGTTAGTTACAGGGTAAAGTTCCCTCTACACATTTCCCATCAAACACTCCCAGGACGGGGACAGCACAGGGTTAGATGCAGAGCAAAGCTCCCTCTGCACTGTTCCCATCAAATGCTCCAAGGACGGGGACAGCACGGGGTTAGACACAGCGTAAAGCAGCCTCTACACAATCCCTTCATGTGAATCATCCATAATTGCAGGAAATATGCTGTCAATGGGTCTTGAGTCATGACTTCATCTCAAGGCGTGAGAAGGGAAGGGAAGTTGTAATGAAATCGATTTATCCTGGAAAGTGGATGTTTTATCTGGATGTTCATTTGTCCTCTGTGATTTATCAGTGATTCAGTTCCTAAACAAGTCCTCCTTCAGACCACAATGGCCATTCAGTACGTGATGACTGCTTGTTCAGATGTAACATTGGTGCTTTACTCTGTCCTACCCGAAATATTATTACAACTGGTGCCGCTTCATCCCAGGCAGAGAGGGTCTGCCTGGTTTTGGTTCTGACCTGCCAGTGAGGCAATGGAAGTCGCAAACATCACCACTGACCCCCCCCCCCCCCCACCACCCTCCCAAGCACAATCAAAACACGCCCTCCCCACCCCGAGTACCCGCGAAGTGTGTTATAAGCCTGAGTAACAAAGATACAAGGGTGTAATGCTGATGGAGCGGTGTGTGAAGGCCATTGTAATACCCACTCTTGTCCCAAAACCAGGTGGGGGCAAATCACCGACAAATTTCCTGTCGTTAAGATGTGGAAGCAGGAGTAGGCCATTCAGCCCATTGAGTCTGCTCTGCCATTCTGTAATCCCGTGGCTGCTCTGATAATCCTCAGTTCCACTTTCCTGCCTTTTCTCTACAACTCTGATTCCCATACTGATTAAAAAGCTGTCTATCTCAGCCTCGAATATACTGAATGACCCAGCCTCAGCAGCCCTCTGTGGTAAAGAATTCCACGCATTCACTGCCCTCTGAGAGAAGAAATTCCTCCTCATCTCCATCTTAAATGGATGACCCCTTGTTCTAAGATTACTCCCTCTGGTCCTAGAATCTCCCACGGGAAACCACCTCTCCACATCTACCCTGCCAAGACCCCTAAGACTCTTATTTTTTTTAATATACCCCTACACCGCTGCTATAAGGCAGTAGTGCTTATTTTTTCCCACATGTTGTGTGTGTGTGTAAGTGAGTGAGTGCGTGTGTGTGTGTGTGTAAGTGAGTGAGTGTGTGCGTGTGTGTGCGCGCGCACGCGCAAGTGCAGGAGTTGGGAAAGATGCCATGTGCAAAATAATTTTATCCAACATTTCCACCGCCAGGAAAAATCCCCCCATGTGGCCAGGGAACCAGTAATAAGCAAAACCCCAGTAGGGACAATGCTTATGTGAAAGAAAAAAGTGAGGGGGAGGGTAGGGATCCAATCATAATAGAATTGGAGGGGGAAATAAAGCAGTTCCCACTCGTCTACACCACCCCCCAACCCCAGCTGTATCCACATCTCCCTAAAGGCATCCAGAGTGTTGTGGACCCTCCCCAGGGACACCCGGGCTCGAATGTAACTCGAGAGGAACTGGGGCAGGCTGTAATGACCCCCTCCACTGCCCGCTGCCTGGACCAACTTGACCAGGAGCAGACCCACAAGGAGATCCTCTGACCTGCCCATGCCCCTCCGTACCGGGTGCCCAAAGATCAGGAGCGTGGGGCTGAAGTGCCACCAAAAGAAAAACATAGAGTAGAAGGTCTTTGAGATAACTGAAAAGGGAGTGCAAACACCCAGACCCATTATACACATGATCCACGGGCTCCACAGTGCTACAAAACAAACAGTTGGGTTGGGAGCTAAGAACCTTGTACGTTTCTCATTTGTCTAAATTCCAACGAGTCTCAATCTACTCTACCACTTCTCATAAGGCAGTCTTTCCAATGCCTGGTATCAGCCAAGTGAACCTTCTCTGGACTGCCTTCACTGCCAGTAAACCTTTCCTTAGCTAAGGGGCCCAAAACTATTTAGTGTTCCAATTGTGGTCTGACACTTGCCTTGTATAATTTTGGGGAAAACTCCCTAAATTTATACTCCATTCCTCTTGAAATCAAGGCATTTGCCTTCCCTATTACCTGTTGAACTTGGATGCTAGATTTTTTTTATGTGTGATTTATGCACTAGCACCTCCAAATTCCCGTGTGTTTGGTAGCTGGCTGTAGTATTTCTAAATAATATTCAGCCCCTCTGTTCTTCCTGCCATAGTGCATAACCTCACATTTCCCTGCAATATGCCCTGTTTTTGCCCGCTCAACTAACTTATCCACATCCCTCTGTAGACACTCTGTGCCAACACTTGCCTTTTTTTGGTGTGATCCACAACCCCATCAACTTTTGGGATGTGCATTGAGAGAGTCACAGACTAATTTCCCCCTAGGCCAGCTTCTGAAAGCGCTCTGGCCTGCAGCTTCAGTGAACCCAGTTTTAACCATTTGCCTGTGTTGTGTCAGCAGCTCAGCTATCAGGTTTCTGTTTTCACAGAACGGGTGACTTTACAGGGAACATAAATTTCCTGCATGACGAGGTTAGAACTTGAGCAGCTTTATGTTTGAACCACACATCCCCCCCTCAACAGTCCCGGCCTTGCTCTGATGCCTGGATCCTGCTTGATTAGTCTTTACCACTGTCGGCTTTCTCCCCTGCAGTGGTTACAGCTTGGTGCAGTTCAATGTGTCCTTCCCCAGCCGCTGCCCTCAGTACTGGCAGTCCCTAGAAATGCAAAGAGACTAATCTGCCAGAACATTGTGGTGTTCAGGCCACTGAGTCAGGCTTCGGCAGGAGAATTGGTCCCAGTGGCCTCCAGCCTGAACGCGGTGAAGAGTGGGGATGTAGTTGAACAAAGCACGTCCTTGCTCCCGATCAAGATCCAGTCCCTTGATCCCTGTGCCTGGAAATCTCTTGCGATCTGTTTTGATATGATTTGATTATTGTCACATGCACCCGAGATACAGTGAAAGGTATTCTGATGAAGGGTCCAGTTCTGATGAAGGTTCCCGACCTGAAACGTCGACTCTCCTGCTCCTCTGATGCTGCCTGACCCGCCGTGCTCCTCCAGCTCCACACTGTGTTGACAGTGTAAAGTATTGTTTTGCGTGTTGCCCAGGCAAATCATACGTTACATAAGTAAATCAAGATAATGGAACAGAATGCAGAATATAGTGTTACAGCAGCAGAGAAAGATCAACTCTAATATATGAGAGGTCCATTTGTAAGTCTGATAACAGCGGGTAAGAAACTGTTCTTGAATCTGTTAGTACGTGTTTTTAAACTGTTCTGTTTTCTGCCTGATAAAGGAGGGTGAAGACAGTATAACCAGGGTGGTTATGGTGCATCTATAAAAATTGGTAATGGTCATTGTGGCTGTGCTGAATTTCCTTAGTCTTCTGAGGACATAGAGGTGTTGCTGTGCTTTCTTGACTGTAGGGTTGAAGTGAAGGGACCATGATAGATTGTTTGCAATACTCCTAGGAGCTTCAGATCATAGAATCCCTACAGTGTGAAAACAGGTCCTTCAGCCCAACAAATCCACACTGACCCTCAGAGCACCCCAGCCAGACCTATCCCCAAACACTACGGGCAATTTAGCATGGCTGATCTACCTGATCTGCACATCTTTGGACTGTGGGAGGAAACTGGAGCAAACCCACACAGGCACTAGGAGAATGTACAAACTCCACACAGACAGTCACCCAAGGGTGGAATCGAACCCAGGTCCCTGGCACTATGAGGCAGCAGTGCTAACCACTGAGCCACTGAGCCACCGAGCCACCATGCCACCCCAAACTTGAAGCTCTCAGCACCACTAATACAGACAGGGGGTGCTGTCCCTCACTCCACTTCCTGTAGTCAATGACTGGCTCCTTGGTTTTGCTGATATTGAGGCAGAGATTGTTGTTTGAGTTGACAGGGTCAATACCGAGAGACTGACTCCTCTGGCCGGGGTAGGGGGAGGGGAGGGGCCGCATCCGCAGGATAAAGGGTCCAATGAACTTCGGACTGAACTGAGTGTCTTCTCTCGGGGTGGGGTGGGGTGGGGTGGGGTTGGGGGGGTGGGTCGTGACCCATTGGAATTCTCTAACCACTCCCCCTGTACTGAGTAACAACGTTTAAAAGACTCAGCAAACAGCATTTATTAATTATAAATAATAAGTTAAAAAATAACAAACATAGTTGTTGGCAACAGTGATACAGTAGGTGATAAGAACCTGAAGACTGAACATAGACTAGAGCGCCAACTCCACACACCCACCTCAACACACCAGCCGCGCACTCCAACAGAGTTATAATGTTTGTCTAAAAATCCGATCTCCCCACACGTGCAGCTACAGCTGATGGCGAGGTGCTGGAAGGGGTTCGTACTTTGGGAATCGTACCACGTCGAGCCGGAGCTCTGAAGAGGTGGTGGACGAACAGTACGGCCGGCACAGGCTTCGGCTGTTGGGCTCCGTCACCCCGTGCGTGTCACTTCCGAGGTGGTTCAGGCACACCCGGGCGCCACCTACGCTTGCCGATCAGCCGGGGCCGGCGCGAGGGCCAGGCTGGCCGCTTCGATGGAGAACAAGTGCTTGTCCTCCACCCCTGGGCAGGCAGAGCGCATGAAGTGTACCAGCCTGAGCAGGTACTCCAGGTTGTGGCCCGAGTGGCCACGAGAGCGGACGATCTGCCCTGCAATGTCCTCAGCCTTGGCAGGGCCCAGGTAGAGTGGGTTCTGGGGGGTGGCGATGTAAACCAGTGCCAGGGTGCTGCTGCCACGGGCCTGTACCCCACGGGAGTAGAAGGTCACGGTCTTGCACACGTATCCGCCCAGCACGCTTTCCCGGAGGTTCAGGTACTCCAGCGAATGCCTGAGCTGGTCCTGCTGGACCTGGTAAGCCACGCCCCATGTGTCAGCCTGGGCAGAGGGAGAAGGAGAAGACACTGCAGTTAGACACACACACACACACACACACACACACACACACGCTTTCCAATCCTGACTCCCCAATTAACCTGTCCTGCCGTCTTCAGGGCTTTGTGGATAAGCACCTCAGGATCCCTCTGTTCCTTAGATCTGACGAATACCCTGTCATTCGTTGAGCACTCCCTTGTCTTGTTACTTCTTCCAAAGTACATTACCCCAGAATTATCAGCATTAAATTCCATCTGCCAAAGCCTGTCCCCCACCTGCAGGGCACAGGTCAGGAGCGTGATGGAATACTCCCACTTGCCCTGGATGGGTGCAGCTCCAATAATGTTCAAGAAGCTTGACACCATCCAGGACAAAGCAGCCCGCTTGATTGGCACCACATCCACAAGCATCCACTCCCTCCACCACCGATGCTCAGTAGCAGCAGTGTGTACCATCTACAAGCTGCACTGCAGAAATTCACCAAAGATCCTCTGACAGCACCTTCCAAAGCCACAACCACTTCCATCTAGAAGAACAAGAGACACAGATACATGGGAACATCAAGTTCCCTTCCAAGCCACTTGCCATCCCGACTTAGAACGATATTACTGTTCTTTCAGAGTCGCTGGGTCAAAATCCTGGAAATCCCCCCCAAGGGCATTGTGGGTCTACCTACAGCACATGGACTGCAGCGGTTCAAGAAGGCAGCGCAAAACCACCTTATTCTGAAGGGCAACTAGGGACGTGCAATGAACGCTGGCCCCACCAGAAGCGCCCACGTCCCATAGGTGAATAAAAAAAGACTGGCTTTCCTTTCTAGGCATTGGTTGCTGATGCAATCTATGATCCGGCATTTGCCAAAACAGGGACTACGTACCAGCAGGGCTGTGGAGCAGGGAGGAAGGTGGCTGAAGAGTGCCAATCTAGATTATTCAACCTGCCATAATGTAACCCTTTGATCCCCAGTACGAAACTGGTCATTTGGCTCAAAGTCAACTATACAGCCTGTTTGGGGAATCATGTCTAGAACTGAATACATTATCCCAGATATTGTCTAACCAGATCACAACTTAACTTGTATCCTTGTATATTCCAGTCATCTTGAAAGCTAGCCATTTCAACCCATCTTATTTACCCTGTCTACTCACTGTTTATCTGTCACAGATCCACAGCTCCCAGATTCTAATCGACCAATAACGACCACGGAACTAATTCTGGGGAGTGAGGTCAAAGTGGCAATGGAAGAGCATTTTAGTGACGCCGGGCACAACGACATACGTTTTAAGATTGTTATAGAAAAGGAAGAAAGATGGTGTGCGAAGGAAGGGTTTTGGATTGGGGGGAGGGCAGAATTTATTAAAATAAGGCAGGATCTTTGGGCCAAAGTAGACTGGGACCTTGTGGGAAAGTCTACAGCAAAAAAAAAAGTGCAGGGTGTTCAAAAAAGGAAATGGGATTGGGATGAAGTGTAGGAGCAACAAACCCAGAGAACCCTGGGTGTCTAGGAATATTCAGGACTGGCTAAGGTAGAGAGGCTTTTGGCAGATGTAAAGGGAGGAAATCACTGAAGGTCCTCGTGGATTGTAGGAAGCGCAGCAGGGTTTACTTAAAATAATTAGGAGAACAAAGAAGGGGCATGTAAGAACACTGGTGAGTAATATTAGGGAGAATCCCAAGATAAGTTTGTACATCAGAGGGAAGAGGATAACCAGGGAAAGAGTAGGACCCATTAGGAACCAAGGGAGCAATTTGTGTGTAAAATGAATGCTTCACATTTATCTTCACGTGGGAGGAGGTTGTAGGTACAGAATTCTGGAAGAGGAACTGTGAGGTTCTTGAGCAGGTTGACAAAGGGAGTGCGGAGGTCTTGGACGTTTGGCAGGCTTAAAAGTGAACAAATCCCAATACTGGATGAGTATTATCCCAGGATGCTGTGGGAGACGAGGGAGGAAGTTACAAGGGCTCTGACTCAAATTTTTAATTCCTCTCAGGTCAAAGGGGAGGTGCCAGAGGACAGGAGGATGGCTGATGTAGCCCTGCTTTTCAAAAAGGGTGACGGAGATAAACCAGCAAATTACAGACCAGTGAGTCTTACATCAGTAGTAGGGGAAATTGTGAAGGAGAGAATTAACCTTCACTTGGAGAGGCAAGCATCAGGGACAGTCTGCACGTCTTTGACAGAGGGAGGTAATGCCTAACAAATCTGGTTGAATTTTTCAAGGTGGTGATCAGGTGTGTGGATGAAGTTAACATGGCTGATGTAGTTTACACTTATTTTAGCAAAACCTTTGACAAGGGAGACTGAAAAAGATGGTAAAAGCACATGGGATCCAGGGTAAGTTTGCAGGTTGGATCTAAAATTGCTTCAGTGATGGGCGAGGGAGGGTGGTTGTAGAAGGATGTTTGTGTGGAGACTAGTATCCAGTGGCATACCACAAGGATCAGTGCTGGGTCCCTTTTTGTTCACGATCTACAGAAATGATATCGATAAAAATGTTTGTGTGATTGCAGGGAGTCAGAGAGAGAGAGATGATGAGTAAATTTGTGGATGACCTGAGGATTGGTCAGGAGATCAGTAGCGAGGAAGAAGGTATCAGGTTATGGGAAGATATAAATAGATTGGTTCAGACAGGCAGGCCTTTGGCAGATGGAATTTAATGCTGATAATTCTGGAGTAATGTACTTTGGAAGAAGTAACAAGACAAGGGAGTACTCAATGAATGGCAGGGTATTCATAAGATCTAAGGATCTAGAGGTGCCTATCCACAAATCCCTGAAGACAGCAGGACAGGTTAACCAGGGAGTGAAGAAGGCATACAGCTGTGGCATAAGTTGTAATAGCAGGGAGGTCATGTTGGATCTGTACAGGACTCTGGTGGGGGCATAGCTAGAATGCTGTGTGCAGCTCTGGTCCCCGCACTATAGGAAGGATGTGATTGTATTAGAGTGGGTGCAGAGGAGATTCACCGGGATGTTGCCTGGCATAAAGCAGTTTAGCTATGAAGGTTGGATAAGCTTGGAGCACAGAAGGTTGAGGGGAATCAAATAGAGTTGTACAAGAGTATGAGGGGCATGGACAAGGTGAATAGAAAGTAGCTGCTCCCCTTGTTTGAAGGGTCAACAATGGGTGGGCATAGTTATAAAGTGAAGGGCAGGGTGGGATTTGAGGGAAAGCTTTTACACTCAGAGGGTGCTGGGAATCTGGAATGCACTCTTGGAGAATAGTTGACTTGGGAAACTCGCAACTTTTAAAAAAAGTATTGGATGAGATTTTGAAGAATCATAACATTTCAGGCAATGGACCTAGTGCTGGAAAGTGGTACTGGTTTGGGTAGGTGAGCATAGACTCGATGGACTGAAGGGCCTCTCCTGTGCTCTACGTCTCATTCTTAGACAAAGTATCTTTTTCCTTGAAAATGTGTTCATGGTTTCCTCAACGTCAGTTCACATTGTTGCTTGGGAAGTTTGGTACCTAACTGCAGAGCGTGCAGTATCTGTGACTTGGACCTAGGGAGTACTGTTCAGAGCCTCACAATGTCACTGTAAAATACTCACATTAGCATCTTCCAGCAAAGTGACAACCCGGCCAGGCTGAAACACAAAAAACAAAATCAAACCCAATTAGTTAACTTGCTGATGGTCTGTGTAACGGAGGCAAAACAAGGGACAGCTCTGGACTGCAAACTAGTTTTTGTGGGTCACACCCTAAACAATCATCCCTCTTGTGTAGTGACGGAGTAGAGTCTGTCTCTGTGATTCCCGCTCACTCTGGTTCTTGGGCTGTCAGCTCTGAGCCAGCGTCAAGTTCTACCCAGAGCTGCTCTTAGCAAGCATATCAACACTGACACTTCAGTGCAGCGCTGAGGGAGTGCTGCACTGTCAGGCATGCTGGTTTATGGATAAACCCTTTAAACCAATGTTTTGTCTGTCCACACAAAGGATCCCACGGTATTATTCGGAAGAACAGATACCCTGAATGTCATGGTCACTATCAACATCACTAAAAAAACAGGCGACCTGGTCATTATCATGTTGCAGCTCATTGAGGTCATAACTTAGTTGCTGTGGTTCATGGGTTACAGCAGTGACAATACAACGAAAGCAGTTCAACTCCCTCTCGTTCCACCACAGAGAATGGGGCATCTATTGCTGATTCCCCAAAATGGACAGTCAACCACATCACTGCGGGTCAGGAGTCACGTGTAAACCGGACCAGGAGGGAACAGCAGAAATTCTTTCCCTAATGGGGCACTTTTACAGCAATCGGTCTCCATTTCAGAATCGATTCCAATTTCACCAGCGGGTGGGGGGTAGGATTCGAACCTGTGCCCCCGCAACATTAATGCCCAGTGGCATTAGCACCAGCTCCCCTTATACCGCGCAAGAGAGAGACAGGGCAGGGACATCTGTGAGCCTGCAGCAGCTCCCATGCAGATGGAGATCCTAGTCCAGCTCTCAGCCCCCCCCAATCTCTGTTACACACAGTCCTTCAGCCCAGAGCAAAACGCGCACGTACTGCCTGTTGGTTCCCGCGATGATAGGAGTCTCCCTGCCAGAACCTCCTGCTGTATCCACGGATAAAGCCAATCCTCCTGCGGGTGAATTGAAATCCCGGTTTCCAGATGAGAGAGCCGTACCCGAAGATCCACACAGGCTGTTCCCGGACGCTCCGGTGATCCTGGGGGAGTGAAGCCCCCTCAGACTGCTCCACATCCTCACTCACCTGGGGAGGCATCACTCCTCACCTCTGTCGGTCTGTCTCTCACTCCCTGTCCCTCTCTCTCACTCCCCTCCCTGCCTGTCTGTCTCTCTGTACACACTCTACCTCTCTCCTAAACACTCATTCACTCTCTGTGTCTCTCTCCAACACTCTCACTTTCCCTGTCTCTCACTCCTTGTCCCTCTCCCTGTCTGTTTTCTTTTTTCTCTCTCTCTGTCCTTTGAGTGTATGTAGGTGTGCTTCTCTGTAAAGTATCTCTCACACTCAGTTTCTTTTTCGCTCTCTGTCTCTGTTCTTTCTCCCCACTGTGTCTCTGTCTCTCTCATTCCGTTTCTCTACGTCCTCACAGTTTCAGTGGGCGGGTTGTTTATGAGACAGTTGACCAATCGGTGTTTTGTTGAGTGAGGTTTGGATTTGGAACTTACCAATCAGTGAATGGGTCCCGAAATGAATGAAACACCATGAAGAAATTGCATCAGAACCAACAGGAGAACTGATAGGGAGAGAGAGGTTCAGAAAGGGAAAGAGAGAGGTTCAGAGAGAGAGAGAGCTGGACAGAGAGACACAGAGATGAGGAAAAAGACAGGCAGAAAATAAAATAGAGAGAGAGAAACAGAGAGATGGAGAGGGAGACAGAGGGAGAGAGACAGAGAAAGAGAGAGTATTCCTTAGCATTGCAAGTGCATATCTAAATACCTATTCAATGGTATGAGGGTTTCTCTCTACCACCCTTACTGCCAATGATTTCCAGATTACCTTCACTCTCTGGGTGAAAAGGAATTTCCTCACATCCCCTCTAAACCTTCTGCCCCATACCTTAAATCTATGTCCCCTGGTCATTGATCCCTCTATCAAGGGGAAAGGTTTCTTCCTGTCTACCCTAACTATGCCCCTCTTAAATTTATGCATCTCAATCATGTCCCCTCCCAATCTCTTCTGCTCTAAGGAAATCAAGCCCAGTCTGTCCAATCTCTCTTTGTACCTGAAACTCTCCAGCCCAGGCAACATCCTGGTAAATCTCCTCTGCACCCTATCCATTGCAATCACGTTCCTCCTACAATGTGGATTCCAGACTGCACACAATAATCGAGCTGTGGCCTAACCAATATTTTATACAGTTCCAGCATCACCTCCCTTCTCTTAAACTCTACACCCCGCTAATAAATGCAAGTATGCCCTGTAAATTTTTAACTATTGATACAGAGTAAATCTCATTCCACTGTCTCCATTAAACACTCCCAGGACCAGGACAGCACTGGGTTAGATACAGGGTAAAGCTCTCTCTACACTGTCCCCATCAAACAGTCCCAGGATAGGGACAGCACAGGGTTAGATACAGAGTAAAACTCTCTCTACACTGTCCCTATCAAATAGTCCCAGGACAGGGACAGCACAGGGATGCTGGAATGAAACTCACAATCTCTTGCAGGTCTAGCCCATAATCACACTCAGTGTAACTAAATGAATTTTAAGGAATTTAAAATCAGGGCTATAGGCAGTGCAGTGTGTGTCTGGGGTGATGTCTGACCCTGGATAATGAAGGACACAAACAGGCAGATTTTGGAGCAGGAAATGATTTCATTAGACAAAAAAATAAATTCAAACTTTGCCAAGAAGTTAAAACCATGGGTGAAAGTGATAAGTGTATTTACATGTGAAGACATTTATAAATATACATTATATACAAAATAATTATATAAAAGTATAAAGTTCAGTGCTTCACATTTAAATTAATTATGAAATACCTAACCTTAACAAAAATAACATTATCAATGCGTTTAAGGGACCATCATGGGGCTAATCTGTATTTGAGACCCTGCTGTCTGTCTGTCTGCTTGAAGCGAAGATGTTAATTGAGCCCCTGGGTCAAGGGAGTAGATCTGTGATCCTGGCTCGGTCCAAAATGCCCCTGCCTGGGGCTTTTCTCCAATCCAGGTCCCAACCTATCGCAGTTGATGTGAGTGAGCGAGTGGGTGGGTACCTCAGAGTTAAGGGCGGTCCTGGTAAAAAAAAATTCACCCACCACCCCTGTTCTGACATAATAAATAGAGGCCGGACCGTGCATCAGGTTCCCGAGTCTGTCTGTCTGTCTGTCTTCACAAATACAGCAGCATCTGCAGTGCGAACAGCGGTGTGAATTCATGTAGCACCCCTCAGCCTTGGGTGCATCCTCGGGAGCTTCATTCTGTCTGCGACAGCGGCCTCCCAGTAAATCTCCCGCTCTCTCTCTCTCTTTCTCCCACTAGCAGCCGCCCGTTGGGCCGAAGGGTTGGTGAAGTTTGTCGCCAGGCCGCGCAGAGAATCCGAGAGGCAGAACGCCAACCCCTCACGGACAACACACAGGCTCCACTCCTCAGCTCCTGGGGGGGGATCCCGGTAGCCAGTGGCGAATAAATAAGACGGCAAATTCCACTTTGGGTGAACAGACAGGGTGGGAGGGTCCCGACAGACTCTCAGCTCTTCCGCTTCAAGCAATTAAACCTGCACCCACACACACAAAGAGAGAGAGAGAGAGGTTAATTTCCAATGCCATGATCTCCCCATTAGCTCAGCTCCCCCCTTAAGGGACTGTCATGTACCCCCCGTCCCAGAGACAAGCCAGACTATGAATGACAGACCTCCCCCCGCCACCACCCACCACACCCCCACCACCCCGCCCCCACCCCCAACATCCCAGAGATAGTGTCAGTCAGATCCCGCTCCAGGCTTCACTGGATAACACAGAATGTTTTAGCCCGACTCAGTCTTAAACCCAACAAAGCCCTCGTCCCAGACTCTCAAACCACACCTTTCCATCCCAACCACCCCCCC